CAAAGCTCTATCGACTGAAGATAACGTGTAAAAAGAGGAGTACAGCCTGTTCTGGTCTGATTGACAAACACTTATTGGACAATGGGGCGTCAGTAATTACTCTACATTATTATATTCTCGTTATGAAACCTGCGTCCCACTGCTTCCATTCTCTGCTTCCATTATCTCTTCTGTCATTGTTGGTGTTTTCGGTGTGAAAAGCAGGATCACACTGGGAGCTTCCAAAACAGCCTCCGGTCCCGTTCCCCGGTGATCTGGCCTCCTTTTGTGCCATCCTCTCACCGCCATCGCTGCCGGGAGCTAATAAGCGGCGGCGGCGGCGTCAGTGTCGGATTCACACCCCTGATGAGAGTCTGAGGCGCACACACGGATCGCCATTATCCACGGCCACGCTCGCACTGGGAGCCAGGGGAAAGACACGCCCGCCATCCATCCATCACGCCACCACAACCCGGTTATTTTCCCCGTGTTTTAGACCAGAGCGCATTTTAATATCTGCAGATTTAACGTATAGACACACGCTGCAGAGAAAAAGGTCAAATCACGAAGAGGAAATGAGGACCACATTTATGAAACTGGGATTGGGGATTATATCGATGTATGTGGGATTAACATATGGCCCTGACCTCTGGAGTGCCCCAGGGGTCGATCCTGGGCCCACTGTTGTTCAGTCTTTACCTGATAATAATACACTCAGACCAGGAGGGTCAAAGGGCACAGGAGGGTCCAGGACTCTCCACATTCAATGACATTTATGGCCAATGGTTTTTTAATCATGTCTGAGTCTCTGATCTGTGTTGGTGAATGACTTTGTACAGTCCTCTGAGATAACTCCTGTTGTGATTAAGTGATTAGAAAATAAATGAATTGAATTGAATCTGTTTAATTAAATTCAGTGGCGACAGTGGCTCGGTTGGAAGAGCATTGGCCTTTGGGCCTGAAGGTCGTGGGTTCGAGCCCATCACGGGACCTGCTCCCACTAATGTTTGCTGTCGTTGTGTCCTTGGGCAAGAGACTTAACCACACTTTGCCTGAAACTCACGCTGAAACACCAAGACTGTGGCACCACCAGGATCAGAGGGACTGGTGCTGAATGAAGGGGTTGAAAATGAATGAATGAATCTATGTTCCGCTGACTGCATGAGCACAGGGCCCTCGTGCTGATTATGTTTTGGTCGACAGAAACAAAGATAGAGTCCAGTCTCCTCTGAAACTTCCTGCTCAGCTTAAAAATCTAGAGGCAAAAATGGATTTGGATTTAAATTCTTACATCCACATCCAATCAGAAACAGCAGCAGCTTAAACTGATACACATTTACACCTTCATCCTGGACACATTTAGACTCAGGGTCTAAATGTGTCCAGGATAGTTGTAGTAGTAGTAGTAGTAGTAGTTATTTGAGCCATTTACCATGTATTTTTACAGGTACATATAATTTCAAGAGAAAAGCTCAAAAAGAGAAAGTCAGAGAAAGAAGTTTTTATGTTCCTTCCCCATTTTCAATACTGCTTTAAAACAACTGCAAACAGGGAAGAACAGGGGTTAAAAACATCCTCAATCAAAGGTGTCATATGAACCAACTCAGACTCAGAGGAGCACAGGGACTTGCCTGAGCACAGGGACTTGCCTGAGCACAGGGACTTGCCCGAGCACAGGGACTTGCCTGAGCACAGGGACTTGCCTGAGCACAGGGACTTGCCTGAGCACAGGGACTTGCCTGTAGTTTGTGACGCTCCTGTGTGTGATTGCTCCACTCTCTTCATCAAGTGATTCTGGTTTTAACCTGAAGTTGATGAAGCGAGTGGCGCCCGGCGAGTGGCGCCCGGCGAGTGGCGTTTGGCAAGCGCTGCAGCCAAACCGTTCAGGACCGTGTTGGACTGCTCTGCATTAGTTATGAAGATAAATGTGTAAAGTAAGATCCCGACAGGTCCAGTCTGGGACTAGTTTAAGACCAGTTTAGGACCAGTTTAGGATTGAGATAATTTCATAAACTAATGACAGAGAAATACAAATAAACGCCCACTTCCTCCTGAGCCTCGTGACGAATCCTGGAGGAGCACACTCTTCCTCTCGCTGCAGTTTGTGATCCAATTACAAACACGTTAGGAAAAGCACCGCTCTGTCTGCGACATGCAACCGTGCCCAAATACATACATCCCCCGCCTCCCCCCTCCTCGCCTCCGCCACAACCCCCCTCCTCCCCTGCCCCCCCCCCCTCCACTGCGCCCACCAGAAAGACATGGGCTTATTGCAAACATTGATCAGCATGTTGTAATCTGATACAGACTGTCAAAATAAGAGGAGGAGGAGGAAGATGAGGAAGAGGAGGAGGAAGAAGAGGAAGAGGATGAAAGGGGGGAAGAGGAGGAGGGGGAGGAAGAGGGGGAAGAGGACGAGGAGGGGGAAGAGGAGGAGGGGGAGGAAGAGGAAGAGGAAGAGGAGGAGGAGGAGGGAGAGGAGGAGGAAGAGGGAGAGGAGGAGGAGGAGGGAGAGGAGGAGGAAGAGGGAGAGGAGGAGGAAGAGGGAGAGGAGGAGGATGAGGAAGAGGAGGAGGAGGAGGATGAGGAAGAGGAGGGATAATCCGGCGGTGGCAGAGGAAGAGGAGGTGGGGGTGAGGTGTGTTGACATAAAGGACATGGTGAAGGTCGGGCGTGTGCGGCGTCTGTTTGGACTGAATCAACATCAGTCGATAAAGGTTCATTATGACCACGACAGAGGACCAGGAACTGTAGGACCAGGAACTGTAGGACCAGGAACTGTAGGACCAGGAACTGTAGGACCAGGAACTGTAGGACCAGGAACTGTAGGACCAGGAACTAGGACCAGACTGTTTTAAAACTGGACTCAGGACAGGGTCCAAGGCCGGGGCCGGGTGTAGATTAAAGCTTGGTTTTCAACAATAAATTATAATAATAATAATTATAATTATAATTATCTGTTTTAGGTGATGCTTTTCAGACTCTTTAGGTCTCTTGACGTCATTCTCCAACAGGGGCACACTGACTAAAGCGAGACAGTGCTGAGCCACTGTCTCGTGGACAGGTGAGAACACCAGGTGGATCCTCAAAACTTCTGGTCTTTCTAACTGTCAATCATTCTGCTGAATACGAGTGTGACGATATATCGATTATTACAACCACTGACCACAACCACTGACCACAGCCGCTGACCACAACCACTGACCACAGCCGCTGACCACAGCCACTGACCACAACCACTGACCACAGCCGCTGACCACAGCCGCTGACCACAGCCACTGACCACAACCGCTGACCACAGCCGCTGACCACAGCCGCTGACCACAGCCGCTGACCACAGCCGCTGACCACAGCCGCTGACCACAACCGCTGACCACAGCCGCTGACCACAGCCGCTGACCACAACCACTGACCACAGCCGCTGACCACAGCCGCTGACCACAACCACTGACCACAGCCGCTGACCACAACCACTGACCACAGCCGCTGACCACAGCCGCTGACCACAGCCGCTGACCACAACCACTGACCACAACCACTGACCACAACCACTGACCACAGCCGCTGACCACAACCACTGACCACAACCACTGACCACAACCACTGACCACAGCCGCTGACCACAGCCGCTGACCACAACCACTGACCACAACCACTGACCACAACCACTGACCACAGCCGCTGACCACAGCCGCTGACCACAACCACTGACCACAACCACTGACCACAGCCGCTGACCACAGCCGCTGACCACAACCACTGACCACAGCCGCTGACCACAGCCACTGACCACAGCCGCTGACCACAGCCGCTGACCACAGCCGCTGACCACAGCCACTGACCACAGCCGCTGACCACAGCCACTGACCACAGCCGCTGACCACAGCCGCTGACCACAGCCGCTGACCACAACCACTGACCACAACCACTGACCACAGCCGCTGACCACAGCCGCTGACCACAGCCACTGACCACAGCCGCTGACCACAGCCACTGACCACAGCCGCTGACCACAGCCGCTGACCACAGCCGCTGACCACAACCACTGACCACAACCACTGACCACAGCCGCTGACCACAGCCACTGACCACAGCCACTGACCACAGCCGCTGACCACAGCCGCTGACCACAGCCACTGACCACAGCCGCTGACCACAACCACTGACCACAGCCACTGACCACAGCCGCTGACCACAGCCACTGACCACAGCCGCTGACCACAGCCGCTGACCACAGCCACTGACCACAGCCGCTGACCACAACCACTGACCACAGCCGCTGACCACAGCCGCTGACCACAACCACTGACTGTACTTTTATCTCTTGTTAACTTTAGTATTTTTCTGTAAATTGTCTGTAATTTTACAATGTTTTGTGAAAAGGAGCAAACCTCCAGAAGCGTCTCCTTTATATATTACACACCAAAAAACAGTAAACAAGTTCAAAACAATGAAGTATTGCGGTGTCGTGACTAAATATCTGACTTAAAACTGCAGAAAAACAGCAAAAACAATTGAACCAGCCACACGTGAGGACAGAACAACAAGCCCAACATCACTGACAGTCACATGTTCCTTTCTCTGAGTTATTTTTGTTTTCTCCAATGGTTCTAATCCCAGATAATTATTCAACCACGAAAATGGTTTGTCACGAAGAGACTTTGGACTGATCCGTTCTGTAAAGTTCTCAGTCAGCGCCATTAGTGCTGTTTTTATTCTCCTTTATTAGACCTCAGCGCCCAGAAACTTCAGACGGTCCTGGGCCCAGAGAGGGCGGAGCCTCCAGGGCTAACCTCCAGTGCTAACCTCCAGTGCTAATCTGCAGTGCTAACCTAGCGCTCGCCGCAGACCCTTCAGAAGACAAAGTGGCCTGTGGGGACTGGGACGTACTGTGGGGACTGGGACGTACTGAGGGGACTGGGACGTACTGTGGGGACTGGGACGTCCTGTGGCCTGTGGGGACTGGGACGTACTGAGGGGACTGGGACGTACTGAGGGGACTGGGACGTACTGTGGGGACTGGGACGTCCTGTGGGGACTGGGACGTCCTGTGGCCTGTGGGGACTGGGACGTACTGAGGGGACTGGGACGTACTGAGGGGACTGGGACGTCCTGTGGGGACTGGGACGTCCTGTGGAGACATGGTCCTCTGCGGGTCTCGTGCTGCGGCCGTGGATCCACCGCCTCCGGCTGTTTATAACCAACACAGAAACTGAACTTAATGAGTGTCCGCGGGCGAAGAGGAGGAAGAGGAGGAAGAGGAGAAGCAGGTCGCTGGGCTACGCTCGGCTGCTTTCATAAGAGAGGACAGAAATACACTGGACTGGGCTTTAGGAGAGAGGAGGGGAAGAGGAGGAAGAGGAGGAAGAGGGAGAAAAGGAAGAAGAGGTAGAAGAGGATGAAGAATCAGAGGAGACAGAAAAGCCAGAAGAGGAAGAAGAGGAAGAGGAGGATGAAGAGGTAGAAGAGGCAGAAGAAGTTCAAAATTCCAAAGACCACAATCCAATATTTGTCTCAAGAAAAAATCATAATGGATTTTTTTTTCCGAACAAAAGTTTAAAGAGGATTATTCTACATTAAAAGCAGAGTTACCATGACGACTATAATGTTTACAGTTTTCAGGCAGATTGTCCAATCAGAGAGCAGGAGGAGGCTCTGTTTGGGTTGCCAGATTGGTGGAGGCCAAACCAGCTAAAAGTCACAGTTTTCTAAATAACAAAACTCACCACAAAAGGACACGACTACATGAAAGGACAGAAGGCTTTGATCCCCAGCAGGTGGTTTGCCTCTGTAATCAGACCTGCAGGCGTTCCACTGTATTTGTAACGACATCCTGAGTCCATAAAAGTCTAGAATCATGGGTTTAGATCCTGAAACTCAGACTGGATTCTTTCTACATTTCAATCAATCAATCAACGTTTATTTATAGAGCGCCTTTCCTACACAAGGCAACGCAAAGCGCCTCACAACCCATATAACATCATGCATAAATCATCAAACATTAGAATTTAAGTAAACATAAAAGGACAGATTAAGAGCACAAGATATATAAAATCACACAAGTAGTTAAAAACCGTAAAACATTAAAATCACACAAGGGATTACAATCATAAATAATCATAAATAATCATAGTGCATTAAAAAGATTAAAGATAAAAACAAATATAAAATCATTCGTTTGTATGCACAGCTAAAAAGAACTGTTTTCAGTTCAGTTTTAAAAACTGCTAGAGTAGACGCCTGTCTCACACTCTCGGGAAGACGGTTCCAGACTCTAGCTGCATGAATCTGAAACGCAGCCTCCCCATGTCTAGTTCCGACTCTTGGCACTAACAGAAGTCCAGTCCCTGTGCTCCTCAGAGCCCGAGTTGGTTCATATGGCACCAACATGTCGCGGATGTACCCTGGTGCGAGGCCATGGAGAGACTTGTACACAAGTAAAGCTACTTTAAAATCTATTCTCTGAGCAACAGGAAGCCAGTGCAGAGACCTGAGGACCGGACTAATGTGGTCGTACTTCCTGGTTCTAGTCAGGACTCGAGCTGCAGCATTTTGGATGTACTGCAGCTGTTTTACCGCTTGTTTAGAGAGACCTGTGAACAAGCCATTGCAGTAGTCCAATCGACTGGAGACAAATGCGTGGATAAGAATCTCCAAGTCTGCTTTAGACACAATGTTTTTAATTTTAGCAATGTTTCTTAGGTGGAAGTAAGCTGATGATGTCACAGATGATATGTGGCTATTGAAATTTAAGTCTGAGTCCATTTGACCAAAACAAAAACGTGTCACGGATAATTTGATTAGAAACATTCTAAAAACACATTTTAATTTCACTCTGAGTTATAAAAACCTCTTCTCTGCAGCTGAAGAGTAAAAAAAGCTTCTCGTTTTCAAAGCTTTTCCCAAACTACAGCAAACTACAGTCTCAGAACACGTCCATGTCCTGTTAGAAGCATTGCTAATCGTTCCACAGAGCTGCTTTAACAGCTTTAGAGACTATCGAAAGTTCTGTCTAATCCCAACAGACGATCTCACACAAACTGCGCCCTTTTTTCAATTTATTTTTACTATTTTAGAATCACATTTAGATTAGTCTTTCTTCTTCCACCAAGGATTTTTTTTTTTTAAGAAAAACACACTCATGAATAACTTCACTTCTTATTTGGGCTGAAGCGGGACAAACACACGCCTCGAAAGGATTGATTTGTCGAATTTTAAAGTATATTGTGTTTCTGGCCCAAACTTAAGAAGTGTATAATAATCATGGGTCACTACTGCTTAGATATCAAAGAAAACATCATCGTAAATAATCTGTGAAAACATTTGGATACATCGACAAAACAGAAGGCAGCTCTCATCAAACACAATCCAACAGTTTAATCCAAATCAAGTCTTAATATGGTCCAGGGAGAAACCAGAAAACACAAAAGACACTGGTTATGTGTCCATTAGAACCAGTTTTCACAGTTTCCTTCATGTATAATCTGCTGTAATCTGGTCTTTATGGTCATTATTTGGTCGTGTTCCGGGTTGAGTCCTCCCAGTCTCGGCCTGGTCTGCTGTGACTCATGTTCTGGACCGTTCTAATGTAGTCCAGGGGCAGTTCGGGCTCGTTCTAATCTACGTTGTTCTTGCATTAGTTCTGTTGTGTTTTTGGATTTGACTTTGCCCTGGTCCAACTCAGATCCAGTCCTCTAGTCCTGCTTTAATCCCGAGTTAATCCTCTCTCGTCTGGAATTAACACCTGGCTCTTACTCACAGTTAACAGACACGGACACGACCATAAAACACAAACACATCTTTAACTCGCAATAGTTCCACAAAACTCTGTGTTATTCTCTCTCAGATTACAGATTATAACACACAGGCTTCAACACACTGCAGCAGAAAAGCAAAACAGAAAAAAACAGAATAAATAGGGCTGGTGTTGCCCGTTGAATAGATAGCCATCTTCGGTGCAGATTCAGAAAATGGCAAATGGGGAGGACCGCGCAGCTTTGCACAGAATGAGAAATGTTGCTACAGCAGGAGTCTACAGTGGGCGAAGATGGAGCTAGATTAAGATTACATACGCATCCATTCGACACACTATCTACCCGCGCAGCCGCAACACATTCATGGGACAATTAAGATTTGATTAATGGCTTAAACCCCCCCCCCCCCCCCCACACACACACACACATACGCCACCAGACTGGATAAGGATGACTGGAAATGCGATTAATCAGAGCAAAAAAATGATAACAGAATAATCAGGAAATGTAATTGAAATCTGTTAGAGCCTGGATTATTATTTTCACCTGCAGAGGACGCGCCTTGCCACACACACACACGCACGCACGCATACACGCGCACACACACACACAGAGACCATTCCCTGTCCCGTTAGAACCACCTCCTAATGGAAGATTTTCATGTTTTCCGCTGCGTGCAGAGGCGCCACCTGCCCCAACACACACATGCACCAAAGTACATATCACATCTCACAGCCCTGACGTGACGTGATCTACGTGGCAACAGCCCAAGACACGCAAAGACACGCAAAAAGACGGATGTATCAGTCCAAAGTGCGCATAAGGAGAGGGAGAGGCGCTCACCTGCTGTCTCCCGCACTACTGCCCAGCATCCTTTCGCATATCTCCGGTCACTCCCAGTCCCAGCCAAGCAGCGACACTTCAGCACGGAGCTCCAGTCCCTCTGCGTGGAACAGAACCCGCCTTTCAAAACCCAGAGCCAGGAGCGAGAAAGACCGAGGCAGAACACGCACAATCCCCAATTAGTTTCTGCACAGGCATCGACGGAACGCGGCTGCTCCACGTCCACAGAATAACACGCGATTATAGGTGTCGAGAGCCGGCGACCGCAGAAGAAGAAGAAGAAGAAGATGAGGAAGAGGAGGAGAGAGAGGCTTAGAGACTTCCCACGCACGATCCCAAAGGCTGTGGTGGGTTTGCGTCCAGAGATGCGTCTAAAGTCCTCGCAGTCTCACCGCTGCGCTGCTTCTGTCGTCAGGCGCAGCGCTGCCGAGGCGAAGGGAGAGGGGGGAGGGAGGGGGGAGAGAGGGGAGAGAGAGGGGGAGAGGGGGATGATCATCACGCTCGGTCTGATAGCACACACACACACACGCACACACGCACACACGCACACGCACACACACACTCTCTGCTCTTTACGCGCAGACTTAAACCTTCAGCGTGATCTGAAACTGATAGAATTGTTTTAAAATGGTTTCGCAGAAATGGAAACAAATAAATGACATTAGACTGGAGCGAGCGGGAGCAGGAGGTGGTTCTGCGCGGGTCCGCTTGGTGGCATTGTCAGCCTCGGATCTGGGCGACTCCACAGCGTGATCCACACAGGCGCGAGTCTGTGGGGAGCCGTGCCGTGCCAAGCCGAGCCGAGCCGGCACGGCCGAGCCGTGCCGTGGTGTGGTCTGTCTTTCTGTGAGGCACGGGCTCATCTCAATTGAATTCTAAAGAGGCAGGAGCTGAAGGACGCAGGCGGAAATGATGAGCTCAGAGAGAAGTGAAAGAAAAGTCAGAGGATAGAGAATGGGTTCGAATCTCCATGATGTGTTTGGGCTCGATCTCATGACCTCCTGTTACACATGATCTTTGATGGGATCTCTCTGAGGTCAGGGAGTATTAGAATGTTTCAGATGTCACTTCATAGTTGGATGGATGATGATGACCAGGCTTTTGTGTTCCAGGTTCACAGAAAGGATCAAGGCCGAGACAGAAGGATCTGTGTTCTACAGCGATAACACTGAGTCTGTCGTTATCACAGGACAGAGACCTGAGACCAGGACTAATGTGAGAGGACTTCAGGACAGAGACCTGAGACCAGGACTAATGTGAGAGGACTTCAGGACAGAGACCTGAGACCAGGACTAATGTGAGAGGACTTCAGGACAGAGACAAAATACACACACCAACATGTCAAAGTGAAATGGTAAAAGTCAGTTTAAAGCCAAGGCGTAAACATTTGTTTTTAGACTAGATTAAAACACGTCCAGTGAAGCAGCGTCTCAAAGTCACTTCCACAGTTGAAGGACAGAGACAGAACAGGCTCCTCCAGAGTCACTTCATCTTCAGCTCAACTCTGACCTGGAAGAACAAACGTATAAACTCTAGATCTACTTTTACTACAGTCTACAGACTGTCCCTGAGGTCCACAGACTGTCCCTGAGGTCCACAGACTGTCCCTGAGGTCCACAGACTGTCCCTGAGGTCTACAGACTGTCCCTGAGGTCCAAAGACTGTCCCTGAGGTCCACAGACTGTCCCTGAGGTCTACAGACTGTCCCTGAGGTCTACAGACTGTCCCTGAGGTCCACAGACTGTCCCTGAGGTCTACAGACTGTCCCTGAGGTCTACAGACTGTCCCTGAGGTCCACAGACTGTCCCTGAGGTCTACAGACTGTCCCTGAGGTCTACAGACTGTCCCTGAGGTCCACAGACTGTCCCTGAGGTCCACAGACTGTACCTGAGGTCCACAGACTGTTCCTGAGGTCCACAGACTGTCCCTGAGGTCTACAGACTGTCCCTGAGGTCCACAGACTGTCCCTGAGGTCTACAGACTGTCCCTGAGGTCCACAGACTGTCCCTGAGGTCCACAGACTGTCCCTGAGGTCTACAGACTGTCCCTGAGGTCTACAGACTGTCCCTGAGGTCCACAGACTGTCCCTGAGGTCCACAGACTGTCCCTGAGGTCTACAGACTGTCCCTGAGGTCCACAGACTGTCCCTGAGGTCTACAGACTGTCCCTGAGGTCCACAGACTGTCCCTGAGGTCCACAGACTGTCCCTGAGGTCTACAGACTGTCCCTGAGGTACACAGACTGTCCCTGAGGTCCACAGACTGTACCTGAGGTCTACAGACTGTCCCTGAGGTCTACAGACTGTCCCTGAGGTCCACAGACTGTCCCTGAGGTCTACAGACTGTCCCTGAGGTCCACAGACTGTCCCTGAGGTCCACAGACTATCCCTGAAGGTCTACAGACTGTCCCTGAGGTCTACAGACTGTCCCTGAGGTCCACAGACTGTCCCTGAGGTCCACAGACTGTCCCTGAGGTCTACAGACTGTCCCTGAGGTCACTGTCCCTGAGGTCTACAGACTGTCCCTGAGGTCCACAGACTGTCCCTGAGGTCTACAGACTGTCCCTGAGGTCACTGTCCCTGAGGTCTACAGACTGTCCCTGAGGTCCACAGACCAGACCTGAGTCCAGATATGAATGTTCTTTATCAGGACCAGAGGTTTTCACTGGTTGGTCATGATCTGTAGTGACAGGGGAAACTGGAGCACCTGGAGAAAACCCACACAGACACTGGGAGATAAAACCCGCTCATCAAGGCCCAGGACTGTTCTGAGACCGGGATCTCGAGACCAGGATCCTGAGCTTTAAAAAACCAGCCGTGTCGCTGAGTGTCGCTGAGCGTGAAGGAACCTGGCGCCCTTGCATTAACAGTCCAAATGCCCATGTATTTGTTGCCAGATTAGGTTCTACCTCTGCAGCTTCCAGAGTCATTAAAATCCCTGATCCATCTTTGAGCTGCAGACGGTTTTTCTGATGTAAATATGGAAACAGTCGAGATGTGTCAGAACCGAGATCTGAAGACGAGGAGATCCAGGAACAGACTGAACCAATGGAGCTGCTTCCCAGAATAAACAAACTGTGATATATGTAATTATCTTAAAGGGGCACGTCGCGGCTAATTGAAATTAAAGCACTTGTGCATTTGCTGCAACATAAATTTAATCAAATGCATTTGTGGAAAAACACTCGCTGGATTTCTGCGTAATTACAACGTTTGGCTCCGAGTGCGGAGGTTATTAACGGGAACCGGGTCCTCACTCTGCGCTAATGTGGGGTTAGCTACACCGCAGTGTGTGTGTGGGTGTGTTAGTTACACCGCAAAGTGTGTGTGTGTGTGTGTTAGTTACACCGCAAAGTGTGTGTGTGTGTGTGTGTGTTTGCTACACTCATGGACCTATGATAATATCAGGAGTATTACAGCTTGGAGCTGAAGGACCATGTGCTCGGGGGCTCCTTGTGGTCCTGAAAAACTAAAACTAAACCAGACTAAACCAGACTAAATTCACCTTACCCAGAAATGTTCCCTATAGAACTCAATGTAAACTAAAACAGACCTCAGTTGACAGAGAACCTGACAGAGAACGCTGCCCTCTGATTGGTCAGAACGCTGCCCTCTGATTGGTCAGCACGCTGCTGCGCCCCTCTGTGGACAAGTTGCGGACAATTAGCGGGCAAGTTCTGCTAATCTGTCGCTGCGCATGGGGGGGGGGGGGGGGGGGGGGGGCAAGCCACTGATTGGAAAAGGACGCCATCTTGGATCACCGGGGCTTGGATACACCACAATGTGTGTGTGTGTGTGTGTGAGTTAGCTACACTGCATTGCAACACTGACATTTCCCATCATCTTTATCCAGAGCCTATGATTGGTCAAATGGATCGGTGGGAGGGGTTTCTCCCGAGGTCCTGCAGAGTCCCTGCATCGTTCATGGATCAGACTGAAAACGGCTCGTCACAGAGATCGGGATCTTTCAGTTTGTGCAAATGACAAATGTGTTTCCCTCGGGTCAAAATCACCACAGATGAAAAAGAATGAAAGAAAAAGGACTAAATTAGGTCTAAATGGGTCTAAATGACTCAGGGCCTGCCAAGGTACAATGCAATACAATACAATACAATACAATGTATTGTTGTATAGCCCTAGGTCACAACAGAAGTCATCTCAGAGACTAAACAAAACCATTGAAATCACCAACACAGGTAGAGAATCAACAGTTAAAACACATGAAGAATATAAAGCACAAGGTCGAAAATATTGTCAAAATGTTTTCTTCAGGGTAAATCTGAATCACTGGCGTGTTCATGTGACCAACAGGACAGCACTGGATTAGTAAACTATGACATTTCTACAAGACAAAGCTCTCAATTTACCGGTCAATCTTCGTTCCCTCCCTCACCTATGGTCATGAGCTTTGGGTAATGACCGAAAGAACGAGATCGCGGATACAAGCGGTCGAAATGAGCTTCCTCCGCAGAGTGGCTGGGCGCTCCCTTAGAGATAGGGTGAGGAGCTCAGTCACACGGGAGGAGCTCGGAGTAGAGCCGCTGCTCCCTTAGAGATAGGGTGAGGAGCTCAGTCACACGGGAGGAGCTCGGAGTAGAGCCGCTGCTTCTCCACGTCGAGAGGAACCAGTTGAGGTGGCTCGGGCATCTGTTCAGGATGCCTCCTGGACGCCGTCCTGGGGAGGTGTTCCGGGCACGTCCCACCGGGAGGAGGCCCCGGGGAAGACCCAGGACACGCTGGAGGGACTATGTCTCTCAGCTGGCCTGGGAACGCCTTGGGGTCCCCCCGGACGAGCTGGAGGAAGTGTGTGTGGATAGGGAAGTCTGGGCATCTCTGCTTAGACTGCTGCCCCCGCGACCCGGCAACGGATGAAGCGGAAGAAAATGGAATGGAATGGACATTTCTACAGTTTTAGTTCAACAGAATTTATTGTGGATTTTAAAAACAGCCTAAACAAAAACACACTTCATCTTTTCATCCACGAATCAACATTTATATAATTATTAAACTCTATATTTAATCATGAAGTGTTTTTTTAATGGATTAGATCAAGGAGAACTAACACGTTTTTACCCCTGTGTGATCCTTGGGTCTGCTCTCCCTGCCTCAGTGATGATATTTTCTACCTTGACCAGCTCTGAGTCATTTAAACCCTATTTCCGGTATTTTTCGATCAATTTTTTTATTGATCTGTGGTAATTTTGACCCTGTCGTTCAGTGACATGAGAAATACTTTTCAGATAAATGTAGAAGTGTTGCTGAGAAAGAAGGACCCAGACCCAGGCAGTGACGGGGAGGAGGAGGGTTGCTGCACGAACAGAAGCTTGATACGATGCTGATGCTGACACAGTCTGAGTTTCTAATCTGATCTCAGCTGATCATTTGAACTGCTGCAAACTAAGACTTTTTACCAATCTGTCAAATGTGATCTTTTCAAACTAATATTTGTGCAAAAACCTGTGTTCAATAATAATAACACTTTATTCTTATCTGTTGCTTTGGAAACTCAAGAAGAATAAGACACAAAATAAAAAGATACATTTGAGTGATTTGAAGAGAGAAGATAAGATAAACTTTAGCCGCTGAGGAATGGACTAACAAAACATTTACTGTCTGTGTCAAATAAATGTGTTATGACCAGAATAATAAAGTGGTGGGAAAAGTAATTACAAGATTAACTAATATAAATAATTATAATTAACATAGATTTCACTGTTATTATAAATGTGGAGATTAAAGATGGATTTGTTCAGAACATTTTGTCTGGAGAAGAACATTACAACATGGATGTGGTTTAAAGGGGAGGTGTGTGATTCTTTCTCATTCGACACATGTAGCTCCAAAGCACTGATTACTGATGCAATCCACCTGCTGGGGTCTTGAGAACAGGTGGGTAACAGTCAGTTCTATGAATAAACTGTAGATTTACAATTACATATGCGCTCTTGTAACGAGCAGAGCTGATGTAAAGTCTGTTCTCTGAAGTCGTGTCCGTCATATTTGACCTTTTACAGAATGAAAACAAGACGTTCTTTAAAACAAGTCTAAAATAACGTACTTCAGTTAAAAGCTTAAAAAGCACATTTTTTCCTTGGGCGTGTTGCAGAATGTTGCTGCATCTCTGAGGAATCCTCTCTGAGTTTCTTCGGACAAGACTCAGGAAAACAGTTTCTCCCACAAACCGGTGTAAGATGTTCATTTGTTTTCCCAGAATGCTTCAGGTGCTTGGGTTCGGAGCCCGTTCAATAATTGCGAGCTGAGTGGGAGAAGATCAGACTCGGGGAAAATTGACTTTGACGTCGCTCTCTGGATGAAAACACTATAAAAAAAATAAAAAGTGTGTGCGGCGAGGCTGAGTTCAGTCTCCGTCCTCTTTCGCTAACAATGGCCGCCGACCACGGAGCCTTTCAAAGCTCCACATCAATAATGAACGGTGCTGCTGCTCGGGGACCGCACGCCACGGCTTCTGCTCCACAGGTCGCACAGACGAGCAGACGCAGGATGGAAATACTTCTTTGTCAAACATCCTCCGTGGAATTCAGACTTGTAGAAAGACTGATGTTATGGCAAAGAGGTGGTTAGGACTGAGGCTGCACCGGGGCCGGAGCGAAGGCATTAGCGCTGTTTGCATTAGCGCTGTTAGCATTAGCACTGTTTGCTTTAGCCCCCCCCCAGTTCGCTCAGACAATACCTGTTGGGAAAGCCATAGACCCTTACCCAGTTGGGGCTCGGGCCTAATAAGTGATTATGATAATAATGAGTCAGTGTGCAGCTCAGGTGTGGACCCTCAGAGACTCAGATCAGTGAATAAACAAATTAACATGTTTTTACCATTAGTTTTTTCTTTTTAATTCTCGTGTTTCAAACTGTGTTGTGGGGAAAAACATCTGACGTCAACATTTTGCGCAGAAATTTATCAATATTTCTTCTTTTTCATGAATTCCCAAAAGTTGTTTCCTTGAGCGAGAAAAATAAATCTGAATTTGGAGGTTCTCTTTTTGGCACAAGGACAGAAGTGGATTCAACGATCTACAGGTGCTTTTCCTCTGAGCCACAGGTGCTTTTCCTCTGAGCCACAGGTGCTTTTTCTCTGAGCCACAGGTGTATTTTCTCTGAGCCATAGGTGCTTTTTCTCTGAGCCATAGGTGCTTTTTCTCTGAGCCACAGGTGCTTTTTCTCTGAGGTGCTTTTTCTCTGAGCCATAGGTGCTTTTTCTCTGAGCCACAGGTGCTTTTTCTCTGAGCCATAGGTGCTTTTTCTCTGAGCCATAGGTGCTTTTTCTCTGAGCCACAGGTGCTGAGCCACAGGTGCTGAGCCACAGGTGCTTTTCCTCTGAGCCACAGCCTTAGTTATTATTATTTTAAAGGTCCAGTACACATGGATCAACATGATGTAAATGTATCGGTCTCAGCAGTCTATGAATTTCTTCCGTTAATAACAACATTTCCAGAAACATTCAAACATGTGGACAAAGTAAAATAAGTTTGTATCTGTGGTTAAAACGATCAAACATTACATTTTTTTTTCTATATTGTTTGCCTTGAAGCCTCAAAATGACTTGTAGAAGTTTCTCCACGGCACCTTCATGTTTCAGCACCACGGACAGCTCCAACCACCGTCCTTCTGTTTAATAACGGAAATGTAATAATTATAATATAACTGCTGCAGGTTATTCAAAACACTCGACGAGAACCGGGAAGTACCATCACGTTAGTCCTGACTAGAACCAGGAAGTACCATCACGTTAGTCCTGACTAGAACCAGGAAGTACCATCACGTTAGTCCTGACTAGAACCAGGAAGTACGACCACATTAGTCCTGACTAGAACCAGGAAGTACGACCAGATTAGTCCTGACTAGAACCAGGAAGTACAACCACATTAGTCCTGCTCTCAGTACTTTTTTTAATGGATTTTGTTTTTTCTCAGATGAAAGACTTTGAACAAAGCATTTTTGCACAAACTATGCTTTACAATCACAGGTTGATTGATTGATTAAAGTTACAGTAGATAATCCGTATGTCACTCAGGTAAGAACTTTACTCTTTCCACAGTGGAGGATTTCAAAGTCATGGCTTCAGAATAAAGAGGCAATAAGACCCAGACGCACTCATCGAGCAGGATCTATTATTTAAGATCGTAGATAATAAAATACAATAAACCTCTGGAGCTATAACTGCCTTGGTTTGACGATAAGTGCATCACAGGACGCTACACTTCCTCCATAATTATTATTCCAGTGTTTCGTCAGCAGTTTATTCCCCATTCATAACCTACACACAGAGACACACACAGAAACGCACACACACACACACACACAGAGACACACACACACCCACACACACACACACACACATACACACACACACACACACACACACACACACACACACACACACACACACACACACACACACACACACAGAGACAGACACACACACACACACAGAGACAGACACACACAGACACACACACACACAGTCTTCTCTAAGGCTCATTCCAGCACCATGGACAGCGCCGGTCACCAGTCGGTCTTTGCACAAAGCTCTGCGGTACAATGGACAATCTCTGCTTTTCTTCAGCTTCAGCCTGGGGGACAGAGTGGAGCAGAGAGAACCGGCCACAGCTGAGCCTGGACGACAGAGAGGAGCAGAGAGAGACGGCCACAGCTGAGCCTGGACGACAGAGAGGAGCAGAGAGAGACGGCCACAGCTGAGCCTCGGACGACAGAGAGGAGCAGAGAGAGACGGCCACAGCTTCAGCCTGGACGACAGAGAGGAGCAGAGAGAGACGGCCACAGCTGAGCCTGGAGGACAGAGAGGAGCAGAGAGAGACGGCCACAGCTGAGCCTGGAGGACAGAGAGGAGCAGAGAGAGACGGCCACAGCTGAGCCTGGAGGACAGAGAGGAGCAGAGAGAGACGGCCACAGCTGAGCCTGGAGGACAGAGAGGAGCAGAGAGAGACGGCCACAGCTGAGCCTGGACGACAGAGAGGAGCAGAGAGAGACGGCCACAGCTGAGCCTGGAGGACAGAGAGGAGCAGAGAGAGACGGCCACAGCTGAGCCTGGAGGACAGAGAGGAGCAGAGAGAGACGGCCACAGCTGAGCCTCGGACGACAGAGAGGAGCAGAGAGAGACGGCCACAGCTGAGCCTGGAGGACAGAGAGGAGCAGAGAGAGACGGCCACAGCTGAGCCTGGAGGACAGAGAGGAGCAGAGAGAGACGGCCACAGCTGAGCCTGGAGGACAGAGAGGAGCAGAGAGAGACGGCCACAGCTGAGCCTGGACGACAGAGAGGAGCAGAGAGAGACGGCCACAGCTGAGCCTGGACGACAGAGAGGAGCAGAGAGAGACGGCCACAGCTGAGCCTGGAGGACAGAGAGGAGCAGAGAGAGACGGCCACAGCTGAGCCTCGGACGACAGAGAGGAGCAGAGAGAGACGGCCACAGCTGAGCCTGGAGGACAGAGAGGAGCAGAGAGAGACGGCCACAGCTGAGCCTGGAGGACAGAGAGGAGCAGAGAGAGACGGCCACAGCTGAGCCTCGGACGACAGAGAGGAGCAGAGAGAGACGGCCACAGCTGAGCCTGGACGACAGAGAGGAGCAGAGAGAGACGGCCACAGCTGAGCCTGGAGGACAGAGAGGAGCAGAGAGAGACGGCCACAGCTGAGCCTGGAGGACAGAGAGGAGCAGAGAGAGACGGCCACAGCTGAGCCTCGGACGACAGAGAGGAGCAGAGAGAGACGGCCACAGCTGAGCCTCGGACGACAGAGAGGAGCAGAGAGAGACGGCCACAGCTGAGCCTGGAGGACAGAGAGGAGCAGAGAGAGACGGCCACAGCTGAGCGTCGGACGACAGAGAGGAGCAGAGAGAGACGGCCACAGCTGAGCCTGGACGACAGAGAGGAGCAGAGAGAGACGGCCACAGCTGAGCCTCGGACGACAGAGAGGAGCAGAGAGAGACGGCCACAGCTGAGCCTGGACGACAGAGAGGACAGAGAGAGACGGCCACAGCTGAGCCTCGGACGACAGAGAGGAGCAGAGAGAGACGGCCACAGCTGAGCCTGGACGACAGAGAGGAGCAGAGAGAGACGGCCACAGCTGAGCCTGAAGGACAGAGAGGAGCAGAGAGAGACGGCCACAGCTGAGCCTGGAGGACAGAGAGGAGCAGAGAGAGACGGCCACAGCTGAGCCTCGGACGACAGAGAGGAGCAGAGAGAGACGGCCACAGCTGAGCCTCGGACGACAGAGAGGAGCAGAGAGAGACGGCCACAGCTGAGCCTGGACGACAGAGAGGACAGAGAGAGACGGCCACAGCTGAGCCTGGAGGACAGAGAGGAGCAGAGAGAGACGGCCACAGCTGAGCCTGGACGACAGAGAGGAGCAGAGAGAGACGGCCACAGCTGAGCCTGGACGACAGAGAGGAGCAGAGAGAGACGGCCACAGCTGAGCCTGGACGACAGAGAGGACAGAGAGAGACGGCCACAGCTGAGCCTGGACGACAGAGAGGAGCAGAGAGAGACGGCCACAGCTGAGCCTGGACGACAGAGAGGAGCAGAGAGAGACGGCCACAGCTGAGCCTCGGACGACAGAGAGGAGCAGAGAGAGACGGCCACAGCTGAGCCTGGAGGACAGAGAGGAGCAGAGAGAGACGGCCACAGCTGAGCCTGGAGGACAGAGAGGAGCAGAGAGAGACGGCCACAGCTGAGCCTGGAGGACAGAGAGGAGCAGAGAGAGACGGCCACAGCTGAGCCTGGAGGACAGAGAGGAGCAGAGAGAGACGGCCACAGCTGAGCCTGGAGGACAGAGAGGAGCAGAGAGAGACGGCCACAGCTGAGCCTGGAGGACAGAGAGGAGCAGAGAGAGACGGCCACAGCTGAGCCTCGGACGACAGAGAGGAGCAGAGAGAGACGGCCACAGCTGAGCCTGGACGACAGAGAGGACAGAGAGAGACGGCCACAGCTGAGCCTGGAGGACAGAGAGGAGCAGAGAGAGACGGCCACAGCTGAGCCTGGAGGACAGAGAGGAGCAGAGAGAGACGGCCACAGCTGAGCCTGGACGACAGAGAGGAGCAGAGAGAGACGGCCACAGCTGAGCCTGGACGACAGAGAGGAGCAGAGAGAGACGGCCACAGCTGAGCCTGGACGACAGAGAGGAGCAGAGAGAGACGGCCACAGCTGAGCCTGGAGGACAGAGAGGAGCAGAGAGAGACGGCCACAGCTGAGCCTGGACGACAGAGAGGAGCAGAGAGAGACGGCCACAGCTGAGCCTGGAGGACAGAGAGGAGCAGAGAGAGACGGCCACAGCTGAGCCTCGGACACTGCCTTTCAGACCGATTCTGAAAAACTGATTCCTCCACAGCAGAATTCCTCCACACAAAATAAATAAGTGTGAAAACCATGTGTGGCTTTGTGAGGTGGTGGAGCTTCATGGTCAGTGAGGAAAGTCCAACGTGGATTCTCAAATGAATTATGATTTAGTTTGAATATTTATATTTATGGAGCAGTGTTTTGTTCTTGCTTCAGATTCAACAAAACTCCACAGTCTTTTGTAAACGTTATTCAAAAGTTCCTGCAGCTTGTTCTTGGAATTCTGAAGAGATTCTGTTTTTTTGGGAAGTTTAATTTAACTGCATTTTACAAAAAGAGCTCATTCACTTTGTTTTACACAATGGGGGAAAACCACAAACTCAATTCAGTTGTTGCGGTTGTTAAGCAGGGCAAGGCCTGGTTAGTCCTAGGATGGGAGTTCTATTGTACAGTCGATATAGAACAGCTGTGGACACACGACCATGGGAGGTGTCTGTGTGTGTGTGTGTGTCTGTGTGTGTGTGTGCGCCTGTGTGTGTGCACTTGTTTTCAACTCCTGGTGGGTTCCATAACCTGAGATTCCACTCACGTCATGGGGACTGGTTTTACGTGGTGGGGCCCGAACACCGGACCCCACTGGTCCAAGCTTAATAATCAATGGGTAATGCTTTTCTAACGGTCCTTATGCAGTCTCTGTAAAAATATGGAAAGGACCCCTGGAGGTTTACTTTCCTGAAAAAAGTGTGTTATGTGTCGGAACCCTGGTGGTGGGTTGCGGGATATCAAGGAGGGGCACACTGGGGCAATTTCAGTCCAGCAGGCTGGAGCCAATCATGGAGCAGCACAACAGAGAAATCAGGTGTCAGGCTAGAAAAAGGTGCAAGTGTGTGGTTCATTAGGCTGCAAGAAATCATGGAGGAGCACACTGAAGCGCACGCTTAAAAACCACTGGTAAGTGCTGACTACAAGTCATGACTTCAAATTGTTATATAGAATGATTACAAATTATTTGTTGTTTGTGCAGCTTAGTCAAGAGTCCCTAATTGATGAAGTCGACTCAGATTCTGACGATTTAACTGTCAAGAAGAAACCTGTAAAAAAGTATGGAAAAAGAAAAATCAAAAACACTTTTCTTCAAGACTCGGAAAGTGACGAACCAAAGGCAAATAAGATTGTTATCATGCAGCTGCAAAAGAAGAAAAATGGGGGGCGAGTATACAGCAAGAGACACTTCTGCCTCTACTGTTCAATGTCCTGCCACAAAATGTCCCGTCATTTGACTAGAAAACATGGAAATGAAAGTGACGTAGCCAGAGCATTGGCTCTACCTGTGAAATCTAAAGCACGTAAACTTCAGTTTGATTTGATCAGGAATAGTGGAAACCGTGAGCACAATTTTGAGGTTTTAAAGGCCGGCATTGGAACTTTAGTCCCAGCTAAACAGCCAAATTGCCCAGTTAAATCCAGTGAGTTTTTGCACTGTATAGACTGTGGGGCATTGCTTAAGCGAAAGTCGCTGTGGAGGCATGTGGCCAGGTGCCGGCTTTCACAGAAAGATGCCCAGGCTAAACCAGGTAGAAGTAGGGTCCAGTCCCTCTGCTCCCTAGCCCAGCCTGTACCGGAGGGCATCAGCAAAAAGCTGTGGTCTTTAATTTCGGCAATGCATCAGGATGAGGTCACGGGTGTTGTCAAAGCAGAAAAGGGGATTCTGAGACTCGGAGAGCACCTGTACTTAAAACACGGGCATGATAAGACAAAGCATGATTACATTAGGCAGAAAATGAGAGAAGTCGGTAGGTTAATTAACGAAGCAAAAACCGCAGGGAAACTGAAAACAATTAAGGATTTCTTTATTCCTTCCAACTTTAACCATGTGATTGATGCAGTCAGGTCTGTGGCTGGATATGATGAGGAAACAAATCAATACAAGACTCCATCCTTGGCCCTCAAACTCGGCCATAGCCTCAGAAAGCTAGCAGATATTCTTGAATGTGACTCAAAAATGGAGCATTGTGTTGATGAACTATTTATTAAAAACCTCCAACGAAGCCGGCTGCTTTTTGAGAAGAGGTGGGACGTCTGTGTTTCTTCTGCTGCCCTACAGACCCTCCGGCAAGCCAAGTGGAACACTCCGGACCTGCTCCCTCTGACTGAGGACGTTAGAGCCATGCATGCACATATTGAGGTATGTCGACCTGAATATGTGCAAACCCTAATAAGTGAGCCAACGTCTAAGCATTGGTCTAAACTGGCAGTTTCGACTCTTTGTGAGGTCATCATTTTCAATCGAAGAAGGGAAGGTGAGGTTTCAAAGATGCCACTGACAGCCTTTACCTTAAGAAGTAAGACTGGGATCCATTCTGACATTGCTCTGGGACTGTCCCAACTTGAGAAAAAGCTGTGTCAGCATTTTCAACGCATTGAAATTAAAGGGAAAAGAAGTCGGAAAGTGCCGGTTCTTTTGACTCCTGAAATGATTGCTTCGATGGAGGTGCTGGTGGAGAACAGAAGGGCCTGTCCATCTCTGACCATAACCCATACTTCTTTTCCCGCCCGGGCGCAGACACCCACATCAGGGGATCAGACTCCCTACGCCAGGTAGCCAAAGAATGTGGTGCGGTGCATCCAGAGATGCTATCCTCAACCAAACTTAGAAAGCACATAGCTACTATGTCTACAGTTCTCAATATGAAAGAGAATGAGATGGACATACTTGCCAACTTCCTCGGCCATGACATTCGCATCCACAGGCAATATTACAGACTACCAGAGGGGACACTGGAGCTGGCCAAAATCAGCAAAGTGTTGATGGCCATGGAGCAGGGAAGAGTGACGGAATTCGAAGGAAAGAGCCTCGACCAGATACAAATTGAGCCTGAAGGTAATTCTTGATATTATTAAAATATGTATGATTTTTTTCCCCTAAAGGCCACTTGTATTTTTATTTTCTGTGCGACAGGGAGAGCAGTAGAGATCCTCTCACAAACGGACGGGCTAAAAGAAACTTCAAGCGGAGAACCTTCAACCATTCATCCAGATGCACCCCATGGTAGTGGCAGTGCCCCTTCTGGTAAGTGTACCAGGTGGGGGATTACAGCCAGGCTGCTTGGTCCTCACCCTGGGAGTGTATATTGCTAATATATTTTTATTTCTCTCCCTAGAACGTGTAAGAAAGCCATGGTCTGCATCTGAGGTGAAGGCTGTGGAGAAGACCATGACACCTTTCATACAGACTGGAAAGGTCCCTGGGAAGTCTCACTGCCTGGCCTGCATTAATGCCTCACCAGATGACCTTAGACATCGGACATGGAGTGGCATTAAATTCTATGTCAAAAATAGAATCACTGCAATTCGAAAACAAAATCTAAAATAAAATTCCTTTAAAATAGTTGTTTGGTTTCTATTGACTGTTTTGTATTACTTAAAGTCTTGGTAAAAAAAGATTATGTCTATGGGTCCCATTCTGAACGGCCCTGTCAAAGGGACCCACCAGGTAACAAAAACGTGTATGTGTGGGTGTGCAGAAAGTGTTTTGAGAAAAAAACCCAAGTGTTTAGGCTGTAGGACCAGGCACACGTTGAAAATCAGACTAAGTGTTTTGAGAAAAAACCTAAGTGTTTAGGCTGTAGGACCAGGCACACTTTGAAAATCAGACTAAGTGTTTTGAGAAAAAACCTAAGTGTTTAGGCTGTAGGACCAGGCACACTTCGAAAATAGACTAAGTGTTTTGAGAAAAAACCTAAGTGTTTAGGCTGTAGGACCAGGCACACGTTGAAAATCAGACTAAGTGTTTTGAGAAAAAAACCTAAGTGTTTAGGCTGTAGGACCAGGCACACGTTGAAAATCAGACTAAGTGTTTTGAGAAAATAACCTAAGTGTCTAGACTGTAGGACCAGGCACACGTTGAAAATCAGACTAAGTGTTTTGAGAAAAAACCTAAGTGTTTAGGCTGTAGGACCAGGCACACGTTGAAAATCAACTAAGTGTTTTGAGAAAAAAACCTAAGTGTCTAGACTGTAGGACCAGGCACACGTTGAAAATCAGACTAAGTGTTTTGAGAAAAAAACCTAAGTGTTTAGGCTTTGAGGAGCCCGGAAAGCGGGGCTTACTTCCCCCGGGAATGGGCGCCCAGGCCCGGATCTGAGCGGGAGCAAAGCCCGCCCCGGTGGTAGCCCAGGTCCGGAGGAGTGCGTGGGTCCAAACCCCGTGTCTCTAGCCCTCATGGTTCGTTTTCTACGAGCCATGTAAGCCGAGGTTCTCCTCCCCCAGAAGGAGCGCTCTTGGGCGGATGGCAGGCGCGCGGTCCCCCGGTGGTTTCCAAGGGCCATAACTTTCTGGTCCTTTGTCCCCCGCGCGTCAAATTCACACCGCGGGTACCCCTGGACCAGGGGAGTCCCTGGGTCCAGACCGCGAGTCTCTGGGCCTCTGCGTTGATTTTTAACGAATTTCCGGAGGCTCTCCCTGTATTCCCAGGCACACACGCTTTTGGAGCTCAAGCCCCTTTTACGCAGGCCGTAACTTTTTTGTCTTTCATTTCCCATGAGTGAAATTCACGGAGGATGTAGCCCAGGTCCGGAGGAGTGCGTGGGTCCAAACCCCATGTCTCTAGCCCCCGTGGTTCGCCTTCTACGGGCCCGAGAAACCGCCACTTTCTTGACCGAGAATAGGCGCTCGTGAGCGGACACGGCCGCGCTGTCCCCCGGTGGTTTCCAAGGGCCATAACTTTCTGGTCCTTTGTCCCCCGCGCGTCAAATTCACACCGCGGGTACCCCTGGACCAGGGGAGTCCCTGGGTCCAGACCGCGAGTCTCTGGGCCTCTGCGTTGATTTTTAACGAATTTCCGGAGGCTCTCCCTGTATTCCCAGGCACACACGCTTTTGGAGCTCAAGCCCCTTTTACGCAGGCCGTAACTTTTTTGTCTTTCATTTCCCATGAGTGAAATTCACGGAGGATGTAGCCCAGGTCCGGAGGAGTGCGTGGGTCCAAACCCCATGTCTCTAGCCCCCGTGGTTCGCCTTCTACGGGCCCGAGAAACCGCCACTTTCTTGACCGAGAATAGGCGCTCGTGAGCGGACACGGCCGCGCTGTCCCCCGGTGGTTTCCAAGGGCCATAACTTTCTGG